CATGACTCTTCTTTCGTTGAAGTTTCCATGAAATGAATATGCGCCCTTATTGCTATTTATTTTAATTCTTTGACTTTAATTTGTTGGTGAAGAACGTTTGGCACAAGGTCATCGTATTAAGGGTCTATGATAATTGAACTTTTTAAACAAGTGAATTGGTAAGGTAGAAGGTTTAGTCAGTCAAATTATTTATTTACAGACATATATATATATATATATATATATATATATATAGCGATTTTTCAAGCATAGCTTAGATGTGGCACAAGACCCAAGTATGGGGGATCGAACTCACTATTCAGTTGCAATTGATTTAGTTAAAAGCATTAGTTCTGTTTCATCTTCAAGCGAATTTTGGAAGATGAAACAGAACTAATGCTTTAAATTAAATTATATAATTAAATCTAAAGTTTTTGCTTCGGTTTTTGAAACATGGTAATTCCTGTGTCGCGAAGAAACCATATTTTAAATCAGTTAATATATATATATATATATAATGAAATGGATTGTCCGACATTTATTTAATATATTTTACGTTTATACATTATTTTAATAGATACTAATTAAGTAAATGCTCTGTTTTTTTTTTTTAAATAAACAGTATTAATAACATTTACCGGCGTGAATTTTCGAGAAATTTTGTAGAAAATATATGATTGTCCGACAGGAATCGAACGTGTACCCCCAACTTGAACCATCGTTTGATCGTATGCGTTATTAACAATTTAGCCACCAAGAAGTGTCTAGTTAGCAAAGTCCAAATTACTGTTTATAAATAATAATTCTTCTACGATATATACATATATACATCGGAAAATTGGACAGTTTTTATATAATTTATCATCCGAAAAGAAAAAAAATTATTAGGTCACATGAGAAAATGTATGAAACTAAATCAAAGCCCCTTGTCTGTCGTATTCAACGAAATTTGCATGAAAGAAGAATTGCTGCCTAAATACACACACAGACACACGTTATATATAAACCTATAATAAAGAATTATCGTTTTACCTTTTGAATTGAAGCCTCTTAAATTAATGTTATGAACGTTTGAATCTCTATTCGTTTCGTTCTCTTTGCATTTAAAATATACATGTATATTTTAAGACATTTTTATGTTTATACATACTTTTTATAGATACAAATATTTAAGTAAATGGTCTGTTTTATAATAAACAGCATTAATAACATTTACCGGCCTGAGTGTCCGAGAAGATATTCGTCCCCCGACAGGAATCGAACCTGTATCCTATACGGAACAGTCATGTAACCTGACGTACCTTAACGGATCGAGCCATGAAAATTTCTCGGACATGGTAAAACAGAACATTTAGTTAAATATTTGTATCTATAAAAAGAATGTATAAACATATAATGTCTTAAAATAATTGTCGGACTTTGTCCATTTCATAATATATATATATATATATATATATATATATATATATATATAGGTAACATATCTTCATTCAAGGAGGTTTCATTGAATAATATAGATCTATTGTGTCTACTTATTTTTATACTGATCCTTTTCAGTTGTCTAATCAGTTTCTTGATGCTAAGATGAAATTCATCAAGGAAGCGTCGTATTTTTTTTAAAACCAAGTACTTTCAACCTATATATATATATATATATATATATATATATATGTATGTATATATATGTATATATATAATGTCTTATTAATTTTAAAGTTTTCTCATCCAGGACTACTTATTTAGTACTTTTTTAGAATTATGATCGATTTTTAAAGAATGCATATTTGGGTTAAATTAATTTATTCTATTTAAACCCACACACACACGCACACACACACACACACACACACACACACACACACACACATATAAACACACATATACACTCGCGTGCGCGCACACACACACACATATATATATATACACACACACACAGATACGAAGGTAATCAAAAACTATCCGTATTTTCGCCATAATTTGTTTAATTTTTTCACATTACTTTCTGATCGTTCGTGCTAAAAGTTGGCACTATTGTGGTCATGCGATCTAAGTTTAAGCTTGCACCAATTTTCTTGCTGCTGTTACAGTGTAAACTTGACCGCTCTACTAGCAGTGTGCACCAAAGAGGAAAATTATTTACATTTAAAAATTACTATAGTTACCACTCTTATTTTCTGAAAATGTTGTGTATAGTTCGGCACGTTTATACATAGAAATTTTTTTTTCTAAAATATTAGAGTCGCTGAATTGATTAGTAAACCAAATTAAAATAATTTGTTTTTATTTTACATTTTACAATATCCCTTGAGTGCTACAAATTAATACAAAATTTTAAGACCTTTACAAGTTTATATATTATTTTTATTAAAATAAACCAATGAAAACAAATTTTATAAAAACTCATTGAAATTGCGTTTGCCTAAGACAATAGTGACCATAGTATATTTTATACATAAAAGTAATTAAAAGATTTTCCAAATAAATAATTAGTTTTATTGCATTTATAATTTACTATTCAGAGCAGATTTTGTTTGATCAAAAATATGGATTTAAATTCTCCGAGGACTGGTGCTTATAACTAATATAAACAGTAAGCGCTAAAAAAACGAATTTCTCGAAACTTCATAGAATTAAGTAAGCCCAGAAAGTTTCATTAAAATCCAACAATCACCTGATTTTGGTAAGAATTTTCCGAAACAATGTATTTTGCACAGGAAATAGACGCTCAAATTTCCCATACTAACATATGGTTCTCCGTTGACGTCACAGAAAGAAGACTTTTAACCCAAACTAAAAGAAAATATTGGTCTTTCTTCTTAATAACCACACAAAGATTTTGATGATAATATTTTGTTTTTATTAGGATTGGGCATTTTTTCATCATGTATGCTCATTATTGAGCAAATCTTTGGAGGTACACAAACACACACAAACACACGCACACACACACACACACACACACACACACACATATATATATATATATATATATATATATATAATGTACAGCCAGTTAGATCAGGGCTACAGGAATGTAGGAGGCCCATGGCTAATATACAAAGACAAGCTGAAAAGCAAATTGTCAGCAGTTAATATACCACATAACACCCTTGAGCGCTTAGCTCTTTGGAGCGAGTAGAATAGAGATCAACGTGTTTTAGTGGACTCAGTAATTTTCAATCTGCTTGTCTGAAGCATCTTCAAGAAGAGAGAGCAAGATCTAAACGGTTAACCAATCTAACAGTGATCTCATCTCATAATCCTCGCACTTGCTCTATCTGCGACCTCCTTTGTAAATCACTTGCGGGTCTTAAATGTCATAAGATTAGCATAAACTTTCATAACTGAATCAATAAATGGCAGATCTCATACGTCGAAACCGGGACGGGAGAGTCCATTATATATATATATATATATATATATATATATATATATATATATATATATATATAATCCGTAAGTAATCTAAGTAGATACTATTAGTATAAAAATATTAAAACAGATTCACAAATGAGAGTTCAATATAATTTTTTATTATAGAGCATATAAATAAATTATAATTAATGAGATCGCAACAATTCACCCTATACAGATGATCATTTCGTCTATAAGACGTAGTTTGTCCCTGGACTTATCAATGCAAATACATTTACTAAAATGAATAGAAATTTAGTAAATTTATTTGCATTGTTAAGTCCAGGGAAAAACTTTTCCATAGACGAAAATGATCATCTGTATGGGGAATTGTTCTATCGACGAATGATTTACACACACACAAAATATATATATATATATATATATATATATAAATTCATGTTTACCTAATTGTTTCACTTCCCTTTTACATAATCCTGCAGGTGTCTCATGCGAATCAAAGCCTGGACACAGCCATGAATTCAGATATTTTTGCATCCGAAAATTGTGGCTTGTGGAAGGATTCAATGTTTGGAAAAGACGATATATAGATTCAATAGACACAAAATGCCTGTCATTTTTAACAAAACTTGTTTAGAACAGTAGCAGGCTCATTATTTTACTATATATATATATATATATATATATATATATATATAGATAGATAGATAGATAGATAGATTACGTGCTGTTAACTTAGGGAAATTTAATCTAGTTAATCTAATAAGTTTTCTTACAAATTCCCGATCTTGGAACGAAAAGAATAGACGAAAGAAAAATATACACCGCCCACCACAAATAACTAAATTGAAGAAATATATGAGTCAATAAAATGATAGATACAAAAACAAGTAAATAAAATAAACCATTAATGGCCAAAAATAATATTAAACATCACCCCCCCCCAAACAAAAAAAATTCGAAAAAGCCGATTTCCTCTTATTAAACCTGCTTTAATCCCCCAGTGGCCTATATATAGAGCCGAGTAAAGTAGTAATGGCACGATGTAAAAATCGTATTGAGGCATAGCAGTGTTGATTCCTATGTCCACATTGTCTATATCTATAAACGCCTTATCTATGATGCTGAATACTATTCCCTTATAAATGTAGCAAGTTTTGGACAACATCTGATTGAGTTTGTCATAAAAAACAATTACCTTTAATGATTTTTATATCTATTTTCCTTCAGGACGTAGGCGATCATAATTATCTACATATTCCTTTTCTTTATCTTGGGAAAGATTGTAAATAAGTTTCTCTTTATTGTCTTCATGTTTTGGAATTCAGAGTTTGTTTTTTTTCTTCTTTCTCTTAGATTGGCTTCCACTGCAGTCTGGAGAACTCAGTCTGTACTTACTATTTAATCTAATGATGGGGAGAGAAAAGACTGATTCGTACCTTTCCTAATTGTATTTGTTTTCAAAATCAAGTTCACAGCCTGACCCGAAATTTGAACTGAACTCACTACCGGTCAAAATTACAGCTTAACAATTTTTTTATAAATATTTTTCATCACGTTGAAACATCAGTTCCCATACGATCACCAGAGTTAAGCAATGCCGAGCCCGGTCAGCACCTCGATGGGTGACCGCTTGGGAATACTAGCCGTTTCTTTAATATCGGAAAAAAATTAAATATTTAAAAAAAATAAATTGAGATGTTTGTACAACTTCATAAAAGAAATTACAGATGGAAATCTATCCTACGGGTCGTATTATACTGAAGGATGTTATTTATTCTTTGTTTTTAGCCCCAGAAACAAGGGATCGTATTACACACAAGTTTTTATCACACCCAAGTCGTATTATACACCCTTGTGCAAATTAATCGAAACAAAGCGTGGGTGTGTGGGTTGTGTAACAGATAATTGTTAATCGGAGAGCTGAGTTCCAATTCCAGTCGAGTTCATTGTGTTGATTTACGCGCAAATACTCTTGGGGAAGGCATGCCACAGCTAAGCTAAGCTTGGAAAATCACTATGTGTCCTTTTTACTTCCATTTTCTCTAAAATGTCATCGTTTCTCATATGTTCAGTCTCCTGGTATTCTCAGCATCTTTCAGTAGAACCACATCTCTGGAGCTCCAAGTCTCTCCTTCATCTGTGAGGAGATTGTCCAGCATTCACGGCCATATTGGAGGACTCATATTACGTAACAGTTTAGTTCTTTTTGTTTCCGTTGCTTCAAGTCTCTCCTTCGTCTGTGAAGAGATTGTCCAGCATTCACGGCCATATTGGAGGACTCATATTACGTAGCAGTTTAGTTCTCTTTGTTTCCGTTGCTTCAAGTCTCTCCTTCGTCTATGAAGAGATTGTCCAGCATTCACGGCCATATTGGAGGACTCATATTACGTAACAGTTTAGTTCTTTTTGTTTCCGTTGCTTAAAGTCTCTCCTTCATCTGTGAGGAGACTGTTTCTTTAAAGTATTTTTAAATGTTAAAAACAAAATCCTGTTTATTGTAGATTTGTGGGTCAATTTACAAAATGAATTATTCAGCATAATAAAATAATCCTCCTTTTACTATGGACCTTAATCTTTCTAATAATCTATCAGAAAACGAGTAATTATTTTCTAGCCTTTCAAACACAGAAAGTCAAAATGCTCCTATTACTTCTTATCCTGTAACAGCAGTTTATGTATTACCACTTTTAGGACGCTGGTGATCATGGCTTCCCAAAAATTCTTGTCTTTTGTCGTTCTAATTATTAATACTTTGTTTTTTTTTTTATTCTTCCGCTCCAAGCAAGCTAATAAAGTCACTAAGACACAAGGGGGTTACTGAGTGTGAGAAAATATGAGAAAAAGTAAAAATTATTAAGAAGAGAGAACAATAAAATAACAGGAAACAAAAAATAACTATTGACGTTGCATTTAAATTTTTGAGAATCAAAATTGGCTCGAAAGAATGAAGTCAGAAGAGAGAACGACAAGTGAGAAGGGCAGGAGAAAAAAACAACAGCATAAAACTAACGCTTATATCTAGACATTTAAACTTTAAGATGATGAGACTTTGCCGCCAGACTAAGAGTAAGCTTAAATTCATAAAGTCTAGGTAACAAAGAGAAAAGCTCATTTGAAAAATTACCAGGAAATATTTAGAGAAAAGACAGAGGGAAGCCTTTTAAGGGCGGTGCGAAATTGATTGAATTAAGAAAACAGAAGATAACGATTGACATTGTATTTAAAAGTTTGAACATCAAAGTCGACTGGAAAGCAAAAAAAAAAGAGTTCCACAAACAAGAAGTGCGAGAGAAGAAACAGTTAGCATAGAACTTACGGTTACAGCTATCCATTTCAACTGTAAGATGCTGAGACATTGCCATCAATCATGGCACAGTGGATAAAGGCGTTGGTTAAATCCAGTGACAAGATCCAAAGAGTGTGAGTTCAATACCCGTTTAAGGCAGTGGAGAACTTTCAGAGGGAAAATTAACAGGAGATAACTGATAGCTGACATCCATCAAACATGGCACGTGGAACTAGAACAGCCTACCTCAGTGAGCGAAATAAAGGGTTCAGTTCGACATTCCAGCCACGTGAAGAAGGCCGTAGAGCACAACGGCCGAAACGTTGTGATAAATATGGCGACAAAGATGAGGACAATAGTCCGAATAATGTAAATAATGTACATAATACCTCATCTCAGAAATATATACAGACTTTTCAGTGAACTATTTGGCTAATTTTTGTACATTTTGTTTCGAATTTTCCTCAAATACAAGTTGCAGAAGCTCAATATATTTTTGAATCATTTCAACCGAGGCAAGGCAATAAAGCCACTAAGACAAAAGAGGTTACTGAGAAACAGAAAACATTATTAAGGAGAGAGGACAATAAAAGAACAGGAATTAAAAAAAAAACTGAAAATAAGGTTTGACATTGCATTTAAATATTTTAAGATCAAAGCTGATTGGAAAGCAAGAAGCCAGACGAGAGTTCCACAAGCGAGAAGTGCATGAGAAGAAACAGCATAGAACTTGCATTTATATCTAGCCATTTAAACTCTTTACCGCCAAACTACGAGTAAGCTCAAATTCATAAAGTCTAGGTACCAAAGAGAAAAACTCATCTAAACAATTGCCAGGAAATATTTATAGAAAAGACACAGGGTAGCTTACTTAGGGTGAAAAATGATTGAATTAAGGCAGAACATAACTATTGACATGGTATCTAAACGCCTATAAAATCAAAGTGGACTGGAAAGCGAAAACCTGGAAGAGTTCCACACACGAGAAGTGCGAAGGAAGACATTGCTAACATAGAACTTACTGTTACATTTAGCCACCATTCCAACTATTTTGCCGCCAATCAAGCAGCACGCTTAAATTCCTGAAGTCAGGATATCAAAGAGGAAAACTTTCTGTCTGTTGTTGCTCTAAGTAATTTCTAACCCTTTGTGTAGCCCTGTTGTCTGGGGCTTTATCATATGCTGACTGCACCTTTGCAGAGGAGTAAGACCCCCACCCCAACACCGCAAATTACAGGCAACGGCAAGGCCTCTGATCCGGAGGTTTTAAGGGGCGTAGAACCACCTCTTAATTGCTGGTGTTCCCAGGCCACTCTGACCCGGGTTGGTCGCACCTGTTAAGGTTCCAGCTATGAGTAAATAAACCCCAAACTGAGGTCAAAACACAATGAAAGCGTAAAAATAGGTTTTAATACCAGGAATACATTTTTGTAAAAACTTTTTGATGGAAAAACTATTACAAGCAATACATTTTTGAAAAATATTAACTGCAATACATATTTGGACTAAAATATTACCAGCAGTGAATTTTTGAAGTAAAATCAGATTAACAGCAATACATTTTTGCACTAAAATATTACCAGCAGTGAATTTTTAAAGTAAAAAAAAAAAACATATTAACAGCAGTACATTTTTGGATTAAAATATTACCAGCAGTGAATTTTTGAAGGAAAAAAAAACATATTAACAGCAGTACATTTTTGATAAAAAAATCTTATCAGCAAAAAAAAATCTTGTCGCCATTAAATAACACATTGAAATAGATGTGCCAGAAAACAGACCAAACCTAACCTAATTTGTCCGTGTTCTGCCAACCTCCCCTAATTTCAATATCTCCTCGTAAATGTGATATAATCACCCACCCTTCTTTCCTCATTATGTGTCCCAGAATTATTATTTGTCTCTCTTTCTGATTGTAAGTGGAAGTTTAAGTTTTTCAAATCTGCACGGGATTTATAAATTCTCACTCAAGTCACTTTAAATTATAACACGTTAGAACTGCGGTATGAAACGATTCCGGCAATCATAATTCTACAGGAATTGTGGACGCTGTTCAAAGCGACATTTGGTACCGTACCGTAAAGACAATTCTATATAGTTATTTTTTTTTTTTTAATATTTAAAGACGAATGGAGAAAGCGTTTCGCCCTATATTTGGGACTCATTACTGTGAATTGAACCGGACCGTTACGATATGACGCAGGCGTCATACTAACCGTACCAATGAGCCTCGTTGACAAGTCAGACTAAATATAGCGCCACACTTCACAATTTACGTGGTGTACGGCATCCAAGTTTCTCTTACCCCAAGCCGCTCAATCCAGAGCATTAAAAGCCGGTTCATGCAAGAATATACAAGTGATAGACATTATTAGCAGGATTTGAGATAAACATAATTAAGTAATGCATCGAGTCAAGAAGAAACCTCAACATAAAGCAGAAACAACTGGATGGCCGTCTCGTCCTATATATATATATATATATATATATATATATGTAGGTTTGTGTATATATATATATATATATATATATATATATATATATATATATATATATATATATGGGTGTGTGTGTATATATATGTATATATATATGGGTGTGTGTGTATATATGTATATATATATATGAATGTGTCGTGTATGTAAACAGATATCTCTCTCTCTCTCTCTCTCTCTATATATATATATATATATATATATATATATATATATATATATCCTAATGAGCCGTAGGGTCGTAAGGCACTATGTGTACTTTAGTACAAGTGGTGTTTCTTGGGCAATATAATCTGATGTTTTTTAATTTAGAGATTTTTCCTTCTCCTAGACCGGTTGCCACCAAATCCTACCCAACTATTTTACCCATAGATGGGGGTAAGAAGAGGATTCATAACTTTCCAAAGGGTATTTATTAGCACGTAAGTGAATGTAATGGAACCGACTGGAGTTCCAACATGGCACTCAGATTCATTAATATATATATATATATATATATATATATATATATATATATATATATATATATATATATATATATATATGTATACATGTATATATACAGGTATACAAAATTGTTCGATAAAAGTAGAATCACCTGATTTTTTTTACTAAATGTTCTCTTCTCCGATGAGACGAAAGTTGAGCTAAATTCAAAGGATAAGCGATCTAAAATCCTGAGAAGAAGCTTTGAAAGCTCTTTGAATTTAGCAGTAAGTACTGTCAAGCATCCGTTCAGTATAATGTTCTTGGGATGCTTTTCTTTTCAGGGAACTGGTTTCTTAAAACCTATTGAAAAGACCCTCAGGAGAGAGCACTACAAGATAATTTTAAAGTCTTGTCTGCTCCCTTCTGCTGAAAG